ATTTAAATGTGCAAACCAAAATTAATACGATGTCTAAATACCATCCCAGAACTGGAGTCACAAGTGCACGAGCTTCTAGAATAATACAAACAAAGGTCTGAATAAAAATAAAGTTATCTGGAAGAAAGCACACAGCTAAAATAAAGTAGAAGGGGACTTCAGAGCTGCGAACACTGTGTAGATATACCTCAAGTCTCCTCTAATAGCTGAATTCGAGCAAATCTACAGTACGCCGCTGGGACCAACTCCCGTATCTGCACAAGAAGTGCAGAGTGTAGTATGAGTACAACCGATCCCATGTACTCTGTAAGTGTCGAGTCTAACCTCGACGAAGTAGTGACGAGGCTAAGGCAGGTCGCTTACATTAACCTGTACGCAATAATAATAATAATAATAATAATAATAATAATAATAATAATAATAATAATAATAATAATAATAATAATAACAGAAATAGAGGTAAAACCGTTAAATCATATCAATAACTGAATTCAATTCAGCAGTCATAAACTTTCAATTAATCTTTGTTGCATCGTGCAACCCGCTCCAACAATATAAACTTAGAATAAAATCCGTTGCGGCGTGTAACCTGATCCAACAATATAATCTTTCAATTTAATTCCGTTGCGGCGTGCAATCCGATCCAACAATATAATATTTTAATTTAATTTCGTTGCGGCGTGCAACCCGCTCCAACAATATAATCTTTTAATTTAATTCCATTGCGGCGTGCAACCCGCTCCAATAACATAAACTTTCAATAAATCCGTTGCGGCGTGCAACCCGCTCCATCAATATAATTAAACAACTCTTAAATATAAAACTACGTTAATAAATACCACATTTAATAAGAAATTATTAGGCAATAAAGCATACAATAATTATGATTTATTTAGGAAACAAATAATGATAAGTAGCAATTAATTGTGAAAATTACGGGAAAATTAGGCAATTTAATATTTAGTATGCTAAATGTCAAGTAGCAATTAAGACACATAAGTCAAATAAACATGTAGCAATTATAGCATGAATTCAAGATATAATATTGGACAAGGAATATGAGAGAAATAATTAATATGATAATTAACTCGTGATTTAAAATAATTTATGATTTTTAGATAAATATACAAACAGTCACTTTGATAACGTATAGGCACTCGTCACCTCGCCTATACGTCGTTACACATAAAATTCATGTAACAAATAATTCAAGAGTTCTATTCCCTCAAGTCAAGGTTAACCACGACACTTACCTTGTTTCGCAAATTTCAAGTGATCACTCGACCACGAATTTTCCTTTCGAATTATCCTCCAAACCAATCAAACCTAACAAATTATTTACCAACAATTCAATTTGAGCTTTAGAAATTATTCACAATCAGAAAGAGACTTAATTTAAGTCATTTTCGGAAAAGTCAATAAAAGTCAATATGGGCCCCACTTTTTGGAACCCGATGAAAAGATCATGGAATCTGGACACCTGTTCCGATACAAGTTCAACAATACTAAAATTATCGAATTCTGATGTCATATGGACCTTCAAATCCTAAATTTTCGTTTTTGGAAAGTTTTACAAAAATTCCAATTTCTTCCATCTAAATCCGAAATAAATGATGAATATAGACATAGATTTATAAAATATCATCAATATATGATAAGGAACACTTACCCAATACGAAGTCGTGAAAAACTCCTTCAAATCACCCAAAAACCGAGGTTTTAAAACTCAAACAAAAATGGCGAAATGACTGATTTTCGATCCCTTATGTTTCTATCAATTTTCGCTTCTGCGACGAAATGGCCGCATCTGCGGCGTCATTTTTGCGACTGAAAATGCCGCTTCTGCGAAGAAGCGCTGGCCAGATGAAGCCTCGCATCTGCGGAGGCATTTTCGCTTCTGCGATACCAAATGTGCATTTGCACTGCCTTCCATTTCTGCGGACTCACAGAAGCGTCCAGTTTTCTGCTCCTGCGGCTTCTTGCCCAGATCCTCTGCTTCCGCTTCTGCGATGGACTTCACGCTTCGCAGAAGCGAACACACCAGAAGCAGTAAATTCTAGAATTTGCTTAAGTCCAAAATTTAATCCGATTTCGATCTGAATCACACTCGGGGTACTCGAAACTCCATCTGAATATACCAACAAGTCATGTAGCATAATACGGACTTACTGAGGGTCTCAAATCACGTCAAACAACGTTAAAATTACAATTCACACCTTGATTCGAACTTTTGAGTTTCAAACTTTTTAATTTACAAAACTCGTGCCGAAATGTATTAAACGAATCTGGAATGACTTCAAATTTGGCGCACAAGTCATAAATGACATAACATAGCTATTCCAACTCTCGGAATCTCAATCCGAATCTGATATCGATCAAGTCAAATTCACGGTCAAATTTGGGAATCTTTAAGCTTGCAAACTTTTAATTTTCAATAAATGGCGATACCTCGAGTTAGGGACCTCCAAATTAAATTCCGGGTATACGCCCAAGTCTCAAATCATGATACGGATCTACTGAAACTGTCAAAATACTGATCTGGTTCCGTTTGCTCAAAACGTTGACCAAAGTCAACTCAAATGAGTTTTGAAGCTCCATTTTACATAAAAACTTTCCGAAAAAATTTACGGACTACGTATGCAAGTCGAGGAAAGATGAATGGTGCTATTTGATGTTTTAGAACATATAAATAATTATTAAATTTAAAGATGACCTATCGGGTCATCACAAAATTTGAATAATAAAATATATTAATTTTATTCCCAAATAGTTGATGAAAAGGTATTTTTTGGGTTCTTTGAAATAATAATCGTGATTTTAATTATTAAGAATTTTTAACAAGAAAATTTGTATTTTGTTCTAGTTTGATGACATAATATTAAAAATAAATTAATCTCTTGATCACTCTAAATACTAATCAAATTGACCGTAAATTGAAATACTGCAGTTTTTTTTGTTTCATTTGATATGATTGAGATACTATTTAAGGTATAATACAATTTTCATCACAATAGTTATTTGTTGAGATTTTTTAAAAATAATTAGTTGTATATTTATGTATTTTGCAATTTATATAATGTTGAATTCTTATTGAATAGAGGAAGTACCCAACTAACTTCGATCATAGAGGGAGACGTATAATCCTGTATACTTCTCATACTTCCTAATATATAATAATTTTTAAAAGAAAAAAATTCCATAAATTAATTGTCTTAAGTTTTACTCCAGATATTCTCAAATCATATTTTAGAGAGAGAATACTTATTATACAATTTGTAACAAAAAAGGGGACTTAAAAATATATTTTATTCTTAAATATTTTTTTCCTAATTTGGAAAAGAAGAAAGAGAATAGGCTTTTGTGTAATAACGTATAGAACCACGATTACTTGTATTGATATTTATCCTTTGCATTATGTACATTTTTTTTTTGAAATCGTATTACTATATCAATCACTTTGTAATACTTGTCGAAGTTTGATACTTTATTATACAATGATTAGATAATAATTCAAGTACAATTTAAATTATTTCTACACAGGGTCTACACTTTTTTATTTTAAAATATTTTTGCAGCACCAAACTTAAAATTAATTACTATAAAATAATGATTAAAAAGTCAGTTGAAAAATAAGTCGTGATGTATTTTTCTCATTGTTTAAATGGAATGATATATAGTTTTATTCTTTTAATATTTTCAGTTGTGTTAATGTATTACTTTTTCTTTTTATACTAATCAAAATTTGAATAATAAAACATATTAATTTTATTCCCAAATAGTTGATGAAAAGGTATTTTTTTGGTTCTTTGAAATAATAATCGTGATTTAAATTATTAAGAATTTTTAACAAGAAAATTTATATTTTGTTCTAGTTTAATGATATAATATTAAAAATAAATTAATCTCTCGTTCACTCTAAATACTAATCAAATTGACCTCAAATTGAAATATTGCAGTTTTTTTTAGTTTCATTTGATATGATTGAGATACTATTTAGGGTATAATCTAATTTTCATCACAATAGTTATTTGTTGAGATTTTTTAAAAATAATTAATTGTATTTATATAATGTTGAATTCTTATTGAATAGAAAAAGTACCCATCTAACTTCGATCATAGAGGGAGAAGTATAATCCTGTATGACGATACTTTTCATACTTCCTAATATATAATGATTTTTAAAAGAAAAAAAATCCACAAATTAATTGTCTTAAGTCTTACTTCAAATATTCTCAAATCATATTTTAGAGAGGGGATACTTATTATACAATTTGTAACAAAAAAGGGGACTTAAAACTATATTTTATTCTTAAATATTTTTTTCCTAATTTTATAAAGTATTCCAATTGAAATTGCAATTTAATGAGAACTTTGTATAAAATGATATCAATTGATAATACTATAAGAACATCTATGTAAATGTACATAAATTATCACAATTTCTTTTTAATAAAATCTTCTTTACCTGAAATAGTTAATAAATAAAACAAATGAAATAATGTTTCTTAAGGAGATAATAGTATTGTCATATATAAATGTATGTTACCATAGTATTTTTAATCAGGTGAACATTTGAATTATAAAATTACTAAAAAGATAATTTTTCTAGTTAAAAATACTTATTAAAAAAAATAATAATAACAATCAAGTAATGCATTTAATGAAGATAGTGAAGGTTGAATGGACAGTGGGGTCCACCTGAAGAATTTAATAGCTTATGGCCATGGTTTTTTCTATTATTAAGAACCCACAACCAAACTTTTGAGCCTAGTATACAAGCAAACAATGCACTAATATATTTGAAATGACCATTATTCCCTTGGTGACTCTGTATTACACCTAGAGACTAGGTTCCATTACTACGCCTAAGGCGGAATTTTGGGTTGTGACATTCGTGCAGATGTTGTAGATTAAGAAGTAAAAAATCAAGCAACTACAACTCAAGATATATGAATCTCCTGTAGCCACTCCACCCTATTCGGGCAATTTCACTCCGAAAATAAGCAAAAACAGCATTCAATTAATTGATAAAACTTCTTTATGAAAACATCCTTGCTATCAGTATTGGATCTGCATTTGGTGAACACATGAAGCAGAGATGTCTTGAGAGTTCAAGGTCTAAACAAAACCATAAAACATCTGCATTTCTTTTGGAAGAACCGACTAAACTTCCATTGATTCAAGAATTAAACAAAGCGCAGTACAAGATTGGAAGTTTGGCTTTGATAACTAATGCAGCTGGTTTCTAGGGGTGAAATAGTGAAAAATAAAGGAAAAGAAGACGAGCGATAAGCCTGATTTGTGATTAATAGCAGCCCATTTTTGTTTAGACAATATGGAATTTGCATCACACTTCTCGTTTTTCATCAGTACTATTTGATGCTGCTTGCAGTGCGGAGTTTGCTTCCTTACTTATGCTAGCCCCTCGATGAATACCTACAAATAGCAGTAAACATATTTGAACATTAAGGCACGAGTAGAAACATGTTGTCTGAGGTCATATGAAATTGCAACCGGCTTGAATCGAGACATTTCATTCACGATATATTAAATTCCAATAGGATGTTTCACATTTATAGTATATGCTTTGGCTCAAGCCTTTGGATTTCGTAGAGCTTCAAACATTCCATAGTAAAAGCTATTACCTTGAGGAACAGAAATTTGATCACCAGAACCAAAACCGTGAAGGGGACCCCCTTTGCCAGATGACCTGGCATGCAACTCCCTAATTAGAGCTAAGTTAATGCCCTTGGTTACCTCATTCTCTGATTTAGGCGAACTATTTTCTCCAGTTAACGGCCTCGCTGCAGATTTTGGAGCATAGGTGGTTGACCAAGATCCTCCATTTGATCCAGCTAAGGCCATTATAACATCTGCCTGATAGATAGCAGGAAACTCAATCATATTATGCACAACTATCCAAACACAATTCTTTTTGCATAGACTTTTTTTCTCAGAAATGGTCTAAACGCTTTTTGCAGAAGTTGTCCAAATGGCAAGTAAATGAGTGCATTCAAGGATAAGATCAGCATTCAATCAAAATGTACTTATACACTACATCCCCAATTATAGTACCGATTCTACTGAGCGCTAATGCATAGAAAAGGCTTGAAGTTATACAGAGGTTTTAAGGTGGGTCTAGTGGTAGAGTTAAACAACTTCCTTTATAAGCTTGCATTTTGTAAGCGATGAAAGTCAGCCTGACATTAGTAACATATTTGGAAGATGCCACTGAGAAAATGGAGGACTGTCAACTGTTTATTGCTTATTACTGGGTAGTGAATGTAGTTACTTTCAATATACAGTTGCTAGGAACAAAACAATTGAAGCATTAGAAAATAGGAGGATAGGAAATCGGAAACTTCTTGGCAGATGAACAGAAGACAGGTAAGGTTTCCACAAGGTAACAGTGGCAGCAGTAGAAAGAACAAGAATAGGGATAGAGAAGGAAGCAAAGGACAGAGCCACACTTTACAAGGGATCCACATAACGCCAACTAACCAAAAATATATCCATAATAGGATTTGGAACTGCACAGTACAATGTCTATAAACAGATACAGTATTTGGATGGCAAGCAATAACGACTAAGAATTGTAGCCTGGAGGCCAAAGTACTTAGCTGCTAAGTACCTCAGAGCCCATGTTCAAAGGACTTCTACTAAGAGCTTCCTCCAGAGTCTAAAACTAGCTGGACCACAAAACTCCTTAAATGACATCTTACCGAAACTAACCTTTAAAACTAAAAGACAACTATATGACTGCAGCTTTCAACTCAGAGAAAAACATGCAAATAATTTTGAAAACCAAGGATACTTCTACTTTGACCAAATTGATTTTCTTGCTTTTTGTGGGACCCCTAGCCTTCGCTTTAGGTTTCAAGAACCTAAAATAGGCAATCAACTAAAAGTCTTACATATTTCTCATCTAACTTCTGATGTAATACAGTAATATTTTTTAAAATGATTAAATATTTAAGGACAAGAGTCTTCAGTTAAAGAACAAGGACACCATTTTGGGACGACTCAAAAACGAATATAAGGTAATCTTTTTGGGGTGGAGGGCATATTAAGTATATTACAAGTACATTTAAGTGTTACCAAGTTAATTTAGTCACAATCAACAAGGCGACTAACAGGTGAACAAAAAGAATTTAGTCATGAATAACAGTAAAACTAGGAACATTTCTGGAAGAAAAATTAGAGAATTTGGACGGATGGCCAGGAACAAAAAAAAGGGCAGCGCAGTGCACTAAGCTCCCGCTATGCGCGGGTCCGGACCATAAGGGTCTATTGTATGCAACCTTACCATGCTTTTCGTTGTTTCCACGGCTCGAACCCGTGACCTCCTGGTCACATGGAGGCAACAGATGGCCAGGAACAAGTTAAGAAAATATCCAAGTTTAAGATTATTCTTTCTTTGAAGAAGTCAAGATAAACTTTATTAAACCGCCAAGCAGGTGAAGAAAAAACTCACATAAAAGTTGACTATACTTGCTAATGCCAACCCAAACATGAGGCCAAAATTATATAAAATGATTCAAGGCGTATAATAATCTGGGTAGGTCGACATTTTCTTCCCAGGTATGGACTAATACCTATTTGCTAGAGGACTTTCCTGATGTATCCCAAGCCATTTCCTAATGTCAACTGAAAAATTAGATTTTACATTAGAGGCTTTTGTCTGCAAAATGCACTTAATTTGCTATGTTTTAGAGAAGTGGTGAAAAGACTCCACCTTCCATCAAGAGGTTGGGGTTCGAATAACCGAGGGAGCAAGAAGAACTTTTGACTCTTGGTCAGGGGTTTTGGTGTAAAGTTAAAAAATCAACAGAATTTGCTACATTTTATGCTACTTTCCTCTCCACAAAATATGACATCCACATTAAAGCCGACAAAACCTAACCAAGCATAAAAGTGGGTTTGGTTGTTACAAAATCACCTAATTGGCATCTTCCTAAGCTAATGAATATCTCGAGTTACATGAAAAGAAACATTATTCATTCGAACCCCAAGAGCATGAAAAACTTATCACAAATGGCATGCCATATTTGTATCTCTATTAATCTTCCTGGAGTCGCATATACTTCTCCGAACAACATAACACTAAAGGGTACCATTGCATCACAACACAGTGAATATTTCAAACCTCAATCACTCTACACTTTTGCATTGATATTTAATCCTTTTCATGAGCTATATTACGAGCGCTGCTGGCTCAAATATCTTGTTTTAACTGTGAAGGAACAGTTTATAGAAACACTTATATTGTGTAAAAATGAAGTCATCTCAGAATTAGTCAGTTGCAGCATCATCCCAATAACTATTTTTTGTAGTGTACATTATGTGTCTCATCTGAAACAAGTTCCTAGAGCAGTTATTCCCCTTACAACATATAACTTCACTGCCGTGCTTTACTTGATAGTTGATACAATGTCATATTTTATTTTCATTTACAGCTGTGCCTACCATTCAGATATGATACATACCAGTACTATTTCCATCACTATCTTCTTTACGGCAAGCTAAAACTTCTCCAATATGATAATCCTCCTCTTTCACCAGAAATGGATTACCCAAAAATTCTCCTAACAAAACTAAACAGATCAAGAATGCATCGCCGCGGATACCATCAGGTAATACCATAGCCAAGTTAAGCATGAGGGATTATGATTTCACACAATATAGCTGGGATAATAGACCCGAGAATTCAGCCAAGTGAGCAATTAGATAATAACTTATCAGTTAAGCTACACACTAAATTTATTCAACTACTCGGTTTAAAAAAGAAAGTAAAGGGAAAACTGACACAAAGACATACAGAAAGAGTAGAAACACAGAAGAGAGGTATGATTTGACAAAGCAGAGGACAAACCTTGTTGGGATGGACATTATCAAAAACATGGGCTTGACCCCCATAAAATATAGTCATTTGAGATCCAGCAGATGTCAGTCCTTGCCGACTATCATGCAACAAACATCAAGAAGTCTCAATGATACTATTAAAGAAAGTCAGACAGACTTGGAATGAGGCAGTTTGTGCATTATCCACTAAGATTACCTTGGGTTAGAAGACTCAAGGTCAGACAAGTGAAACTCGGCTTTCTGCTTAGCACCACCTAATGGTACCCCAGAAAGGCTTCTATCAGAGACTCCACCACTTGCATTAATGGACCTCAATATTCCGGATCCTTTGATTCCTGTCCTTGATCCTTCATCAGCGGCTGCTTGAGATATAGTAGAAGGTCCTGCATTGGCATCTCCAAACCTGTTGGCTGACGATTGATAGTCAAAAGGCACAACTTGACTAGCACGTGGATGATAATGCAAGGTGGGGCCAACATTGACAGGAATAGCTCGATCCCACTTGGAAGCATTGGCATTGGTTCGACCAGTTGCGGATGGTTGTGATATTAAAGAGGCATGAAGTGGCCTCATAGGATGCATAGCAAAGGACATGTCTTGATCACGTGGTCGTCCACGTGGCTCACCCCCTGCATTTCGTAGTAGCTGGACTTGAAGAAAACTCCCGGTATCAGAGTAAATAGCAGGCATTGTAGAATGATATGCAAACAACAGAAGACCAACTAGGAAAAGTTTTTCCTTCTTTTTTCTTCTGTTTTTTTTTTTGGAGTTCTGGTTAATAGATGAGGCAAAAAAAGAAAATACAGACCTTTGTCATATGTGAGCTCTCCAATGCGTCTGGTCGCAGCGTTGAAAATTTATCTCTTGATGACCCCATCAAAGAGTCAGAATTGCTTCTTTTTGTTCCCGAGAATCGATTACTTGTCTCAGGCCCTGAAAGTTCACCCCTTAGGCCGTAGAACGGCACTCCTTCAAAATGATTTCCTACATGTCTTTCTACCATGACAAGAAAATGATCAAATACTGTTCAAATTTTCATACAGGCCAACCATCAAAAAAGCAACTTGTGACATTCTCAAAAAGTAGAACTATCCAATCACTTGACACTTTAAACACGTTTCTTTAAAGCTAACTTCCTTTTCTAAGAACAAAAAGTAAAAGCATGCATGGAATTTCCATATGTGAATGCTAAAAAAAGTTCAAAAATTGAGTCAAGTCTTCAAAGACTACTAAAATATAATGATCATCGATACATATTGACAAAAAGACAATACATGCTTAGCGACATTAAAAGAGAGCTTCCCCAAAAGCTACTAAATCAATCAATTAACAGATGGATGTTTTTGATCAAATTTGGGTAACTTAAAGGATGTTTTCTAGTAAGTGTAATATTATAAGGATGTAATGAAAGTTTTGCTTAAACTATAAGGATGATTTTGGTCAAAAACTCCCACTTTAGGATAGGCTTAGTAAGGTACAAACAAAAACACATCACAAGAAACAGCAACATCAAGCTTATATAAAAATCAAAACATGCTCATGAGACTAAAAGGAAAGATAAAAAGAAACTAAACCAGCTGTCAAATTATATCTCAAAACACCCAATCATAAAAAATATATAGCTAAAAGAACCTCCAGTTTCCCTCTAATTGCATAAAAGGAGTTCAAAACATGACAATAGAAATAAGTGCTTGTTTTTTCACTGACCAGAACCCAGATCAGAAGAAGCACCAACAGAGACAGAAGCAGAAGGAGATGCCTCGGACGGCAACACCAATTTGCTAGCCATAGCCAGAGATGAATCTTGAGGATACCCTTTACCTAAAAAATCATGAAAAGTAGTAGTGGCGGCTGTTGGTTTCACTTCATTATCAGCTGCAGTAGTATTACCACCACTAGCACTTTTGTTGTTACTCATCACATTCTTGTTACTTTGTATGTGAGCCATAAACAATGTACTAACACACCGTACTGTAGCATCACAAACACACCCATTTCATCCTTACAAAAAGCAATAATATTTGTTCAAGAAAGATGCAAAAGCAACAATCTTTAACACAAGAAAGAGGAGATTTTGAAATCACAGCTAAAGTACTTAGAGTGTGAGCTTATTATCTGCTTCAGCTTTTGCAGACAAGTTTAATTCAAGATGTACACAAACTAGACCGGATATTACAATTTATGAAAGATAAAGAAGAGAAAAAAAAAAAGGAAAAGGTTGAAAAAGGTGGTGCTTTTTAGAAAAATTGGTTCAAAAATCAGACAAGTAATGGAGTCACAGAAGAGAGAGAAAGAGGTTCATTAAAATGCAAAAGTGACTGGCTTTTTTATTACATATATACATATAAATGGGTTCTGAGTTATTTGTTCTTTTGCCCATTCACACATCTACTATGGGCTTTGTTTACTTGTTTTTTGCTTCTTACACAACAAAAGAAAAGACACAGAGGCATAGTATTGGGAAGGGAGAAAGCAGGAGAATAATAGTGGGTATTTTTTTGATTACTATTTGCTGTTTTTTGGAAGAGAGGAAGTATCATTAATTGTTTTAATTACAAGTTATATCTTGAAAAACTACATATCATTGTCCATATCGGGTTAAAAAAGGTCCATGCTGGCTGCTACTTGTGAAGAAAAGCCGCCCTATAAATTTGATTCTTGTATTCTTCGTCCCTAACCTTAGGAGAAATAGTTCAACATACCCTTTTAATATTTAAATAGATTGCAAATATTTTTCATGCTTTATTTTCATATTTTGACGTGTAAAACCAATTAACCCTTGAAACTACATTCCGACGTCTTTATAATAACAACAATAAAAAAACTCACTACTTTTTTACAAGTGGGGTCCGGGAAGGTAAAATGTTCGCCTTGTCCCTATCCCTGCAAGGGTAGAGAAGCTATTTTCGATAGACCCTCGACAGACATCTTTATAACAATATCTCTATATAAGAATAGTTCACTATAAAAGTCAAGTTTTTCTCGGAACCGATTTTTATATTATGTTATAATATATGTCCTCCATAACAATACTTCAACATCAAAATAAACAAAATTGTTATATAGAGGTTTGATTGTATTTGATCTACGCGACTTATATACGAAAATGTAAGAATTGCAATGTCGTAATTCATAATCACTTAATTATTATTCAATGATTGATGTTTTTTATATTTTAGATACTAATCTTAGGGTACACGCTTTGCGCGTGTACCTATATCATGAGTATATAATTTTTTTTAAAAATAGGTAATTATATTAAATAATTTATTTGAGTTATTGAACAAAAATTAACGAAAAAGACCTAAATTCCTAAAAAATATAAATATTGATTCAATGTAGCTAGTTCAGTAAATAAAAAAAAAATTGTCTTACATATGCATTATTGTAATTTCTTAGAACACATGAATATCTTATGAACATCCTTGTTATTTTTGTTACCTAATACAAAAAATAAATAACAAGTTAAACTATAACATATTCAATTTTGTTCTATTTTTTATCTTTTTAACCGCCAATATTTTTCTTGTGAAAATAAATGTATGTACCTTAAAAGTTTTATCAATTTAAAAGATAATTTTATTTATATGATGATTTTAAAAAATAAATAAATTGATTATTTTGCTAATTACTCCCTCCTTTCTAGTTCATGTGAATCTTTTCACTTTTCAAGAGTTAATTTGACTAAATTTTTGAAGCTAAATTAGATTATATTAATTCAATATTTTAAAGTTTAAATTTAGATATTCAAAAAATATACGAAAAATGTTATTAAGCTACAATATTTTCATTTCAATACGATGCAAAAAATATTTAAAATTTTGGTCAAAGTTTATATAGTTTAAATCTCGAAAAATTAAAAGGTTTTATATAAACTAAAACGGAGGGAGTAATTAATTCAAAGACTTACATATTTACTCTTAATTAGGAAAATAATTTTATTTTTTCGCATTGGGGTTTAGTACTTTTACATTAATATAAAAAATATAATAATTTTTGAAATCTACTCATTGTTTGTGTATCCTATCTTGATGAATAAATCTTTATATTAAATATTATATTTGAGTTATAAAATAAAAATTTTAACTTTTGAAATTGAAGAATTTTGATTATGCTTCTTTTTTAGTTTCAGCTAAAACACACAGCCTTTAAAAGTTCAAAATCTTTTCTGGAAAAAACTTCAATGGTTATTTTTTTCGTTTACCTTTTTAAGAGTATTCATTTGTAACTTTATTTGCTCTAAGCTTTTTTATCTAGCTTCATTCTCATCTTTGTATTTTTCATATTATTTCATGAATAAGATGACTGAAACAATAAAAAAAATTTAATTATTAAAAAACAACCTGTACGATTAATATGTACCTCGAACAATTGAGATTACATTATCTACAATATTGGCTTTCCACTTTTGAGTTAGTTGTGTTGCTAAAATTAATTGTTATATTTGTTTAATGAAGACCGAATGGTGCTAAAACAACCTTTAATTTTAATGTTGCTTTACGCGTTATGGTTGACTCCTTACAATTGATTTGCAACTTCTAATGTTACATCTTTGGACAATATTGTTTTGAATCAATTCATATAAAGCAGATAAAACTAGTAAAGGAAAATAACATATGGAGATTTAACTCTACGAGCAATCTTTAATGAGCGAGCATCTATAACTTAAAAGCTAAAAATACTCCACTATATATTTGTTCACACGTAATGTCTCTTCATCTTCTTCACTCTACCTTCAGCTGATTCCTGCAACCAAAACTTCTCCCATGTGAGAGAGTTTTCAAATTGAAAAAAGAAAAGATTTCATAAGTATCGATATAGCTTTTCTTGTAACTGACTCTAGCTATCGGGTGGCATCAATTACGTCACATTATTGGCATGAGACTTTGGCTTCATGTTTTTTCTCATCTTCAACGACTTCAGAGATTTCTTTAGAACCTTATCCAGAATATTGGTCACATCAAGATATCAATTTATTCTTCAGACTTGATTTTCCTCCTATCTCAACGTGAGTATTTTGGAATCTTCATTCTTTTTGGACATTGTTGAAGTAGTTATATAACTTCATTATGGTCTATTGGTGAGGGTTGTCCATAAGATAATCTTCTTCTTGCAGCAATGTCAAACATGTTCTTTAAGAATATTTTTCGGCCTTTGCCGTTAAAAATAAATTAAACAACCTAACATCTCAATTTCCAAGAGACAATTGATGATTTGAAGCAACAGACATTAAAGCATATGACTTTGGTTCTGTTGTGGCACAACCTCAATTAGCTTCATAAGAATGTGAATTGTTTTGTGAATTAATATCAGATTAGGACTACGTTTAGTGTCATTGTTAGGCAGAAGATTGTATATCTAATTTAATTGGAATATATATACATACAAATAAAAAGTCACATTAGTTTACGGTGGTGTTGTCCAAGTGGGGTTCTTAAGTTTGACGGAAATTGAAAAGGAGAAATCGGATGCATATTACGATTAGAAGTATTTTTCCTACAAATATGCACGAGGTTTAGGTGATTACAATAAAAAAGTCTATCAATATTCCAAGCATATTTATAATGACCCGACCGGTCGTTTTGAGCTCTAACGCATCGTTCGGCAATTTGAGGCCATGAGCAGATTCACTTAAGGTATTATGACTTGTACGCATGGTCGAAATTGAATTCCGAGAAGTTCGGAAGCTCTAAGTTGGAAGAATTGACAATGATTGGATTTTTTAGTAAACGACCTCGGAATCGGGATTTTAAAGGTTCCAACAGGTTCATATGATGATTTTGGACTTGGGTGTATGTTAAGATCGGGTTTTGGATGACCCGGGAGCGTTTAGGCGCCTATTGTAGAAGTTAGCAATTTGGAAGAATTTCATAAATTTGGGTTGAAGTTCATTTTAATGCTATCGATGTCCGTCTGGGACTCCGAGTCTGGGAATAGCTCCGTATGGTGATTCTGGTATTGGGGGTGCGTCCGGAAGTGGATTCGGAGGTCCGTAGATCATTTTGAAGTCATTTGGCTAAAGTTAGAAATTTAAAGGTTTTTGAGAAGTTTGATCGGAAGTGGCCTTTTTGATATCGGGGTCGGATTTCGATTCCGAGAGTTGGAGTAGGGCCTTAATGTCAATATGACTTGTGTGCAAAATTTGAGGTCAATCGGATGAGATTTGATGGGTTTCGGCATCGAAAGTTGAAGTTTGAAATTCTAAAGTTTATCAAGTTTGAAATGGAGTGGGATTCATGGTTTAAGCGTTGTTTGATGTGATTTGAGGCCTCAAGCAGGTCCGCGTTATGTTATAGGACAGGTTGGTGTGATTGGATGAGGTCCCGGGGGCCTCGGAGGGATTCCGGATAGTTAACAGATCGAATTTGGAGTTAGAAGAAGAATTGAGCTGCCTTTTGGTGTAACCACACCTGCGAGGCTTGGGCTGCAGAAGCGGCCCTGAGGTCGCAGATGCGATTTTGGTGGGGTGAGCTGGGACCGCAGATGCGGTCATCTCGCTGCAGAAGCGGGACTGCACCTGCGGAGGTGAGGACGCAAAAGCGGGAATGGGCTGGGGGGCCTCGACCGTAAAAGCGGTATTTAGTCCGCACGTGCGGGACCGCAGTAGCAGTCGAGTGACCGCATGTGCGAAAAGGCCGGAGGCAGTAAGGTTTTCTTTAAAACGGGGGTGTGGCTCATTTCAACCTCATTTCTTTCATGGGAGCCGATTTTGGAGCAACTTGGGAATGTCATTTTCACCACCAAGCATGAGGTAAGTGGTTTATACTAGTTTGAGTTCAATACATCGGTTATGTATATGTTTTAACATGAAAATTAGTAGAAACTTGGAATTTGAGGGAAAAACCTAGAAAATTGATATTCTTGGATTTTTATCATGATTCTGGAGATGAAATTGAGAGTAAATTATATATTTAAGTTCGTGAGGTTATGGGTAAACTTTATCTTCGAAAAATTTCGGAATCCATGAGATGAAATTGAGAGTAAATTAAACTTTATAAGTATTAGGGTGTATTTTCACTGGTTTGCCCATGTCAAGACCCTAAACCCGACCCGGTCGTGATGACGCCTATCGTGAAACTAGGTCAGCCGACACAACTTCCAATTGAACCATTATTCTATGAAAGTCATTTTCTAAGCCATTAATTAACAAAATATCTCACAATATAAGTTCAAATAAGCAGTGCGAAAATATAACACAAGCCCGATATCGGGGTGTCACCAGTCATGAGCAACTACAAACTCGTCTAAGAACAAGAAAGGCTAACATAGTCCGAAAATAAAATACTAAGACAACGAGAGTAAGGTAAGAAGGAGAACTGCAGGGCTGCGAACGCCAAACAGCTACCTAGCCAACTCCGGAGACCTGCTGGAAGACTGATCAGCACTCAAAATCACATCCCGAGATTCTTGGATCTGCACACAAGGTGCAGGGAGTAATGTGAGTACGCCAACTCAGTAAGTAATAAAAGTAAAAGCAACTGAGCAGTAAGAAAACAGGTAATTCCACGTCATAATACTACAGCAAAACAATATATGTCCAGAA